TTTCTTAAGCGTTGTAGCTATATAATTTCAAACATCCTCAAGAGCTATAACACATCTGCAGCAGAACTGGATATGAAGACAAAATTGCAGGACAGGAACACTTTAATTGTCCACTAATCTTCAGATTTCCTGCTACGTTTTAAAAAACTTTATTTGTGAAAACCTTCAGCGTGGCGGACAGCTGGCCGCCTTAGGCGGCTAGTAAACAATAAACCTCAGTTGGCTTATTTTTCTTTTCAAAAAATAAAATAGTTCAGTTACTACTAGTTCAGTTATAAATAAAACAAATAAATGATATAAAAAACTGGAAAAAGTAAATATTTGTTTTTTAGATCGAAAGAATACCCTTTTGCTTTTGTTTTGCCTTCCTTAACAGGGAAATAAAAAGATGAATTGCCATGAGAAAAGTAGTCTATGGGGAAAGATTCCCAAATGCCAATAAAGTGTCGTGTTGTTTCACCCCTAATAACAATATATAGCCTATTACAGCATCATCTTTCAACAGCAATATTGAGACTAGAGTTTTTCCGAATTTCTGACTTCTATATCTAGTTTCTTAGTTATTACGTTATACATCACCAATGACATACGTAGAAACTTTTCGAAGATTTTATGCTATTTTCGAACATTTATTTCTTTCATTCCCTATTTTTACTTGATTGTAATTTTATACTTTTTACGTAGTTAAAATTTAGTTCCAATTTTTAAATGAAATGCAAGAGCAATGTTTTTCTTTTACATCACTGCCATGCGGCGAATTGAATGTTTACGGCATATTTTATTAATCATTAGATTTAAGTTGTATTCTACATAAAAATTGACATACTGAAAAATTGATTTGCATAGCAGCTCGCTTTTTTAAAAACTGGACTTACGTAGGATATATTAATATTTTTTTTTTTAGATTTTATGCCATTTTTAAACATTTCTTATTTCTTTCATTCCTTTTTCTTCTATTTTTATGGGGTTCTTTTTTCATAATTACAATTCTTATACTTTTTACATAGTTAAAATAAAGTTTTAATGTTTGAATAGAGTATGAAACAATGTTTTTTTTCCCTGTCATACTACAATTTAAATGCTTACTCCATGTTTTATTGATTTTCTTTCTATTAAAATTCAATTTTGTTTAAATTTAAATTCTAATTAACCGTTACATTCTTGCTTTCTTTTTCTAGAAAGTTATTTTCGTTCAAAATAAAAATTAGGATATTTTTTTTGTTATCCTTTGAATACCAATCATAAAAAGATGATTTCAGTCAGCTATCCTTTAATACTGGCAACTTCATAACAAAATGCAATCCTGAGGACTATTAAATTCCTGTTAAGATTTACCTTTTTCATTTACTTTTGGAAATTTACTTTTTCTTCATTTGATCAAACCAGATAATGAATCATACGTTATTACGTTTTATTATTGTTCGAAAAGACATCATTCCTTGAATTTATTTATTTTCATAAAATTCACTATTGCATTCGTGTTTCCTTTTTTGCTAAGTTCTTTTAGTTCAAAATAAAAATTAAGATTTTTTTGTTAAGTAGGATTACTTATTTAGGATTACTTATGGAAAATTAAATTCTCTTCATTGAATCAAATCATACATTATTACGTTTTATTAATGTATGAAAAAACGTCATTCCTTTTATTTATTGATTTTCATGAAAAATAATCATAAAAAATTATCACAAAAATGATCAAAAACATTATAAAATATAGAAAACTAGAATAGTTACGTTCAACTCACAAGGAAATTAAAAATAAAAAATTTCCTTTAGAATAAATTAAGAATTATAAGATGTTGTTGTTGTTAATCTACGTCGCACTAGAGCTGCACAATGGGCTATTGGCGACGGTCTGGGAAACATCCCGGAGGATGATCCGAAGACATGCCATCACAATTTTGATCCTCTGCGGAGGGGATGGCACCCCCGCTTCGGTAGCCCGACGACCTGCGCGCGAAGTCGAGCACTTTACGGTAGCACAGTTTAACGAGGACCAATACCGCACACCCTCGGTCCCTACGCAGACTGATCCAAGTGGTCACCCACCCGCACACTGACCGTAGCCAGTGATGCTTGACTTCGGTGTTCTGCTGGGAACCGTGTCTTAACGATCAGTCCACTGCGGGACGAATTATAAGTAAAAAAAGTAAAAATATGTTTGCAATGTCTGAATTACAGCTCGATGCTTTTAATTTTCTCCACTCAAATCAAATCATTATTAAAAACAGATTATTTCAATATAGAGTTATTTGACTATTTATGCCAATTTCAAATATTTATTTTAAGAAATTTAGTCCCTTAAATCATTGACTTTTCTTAATCGCATGGTAATCGAATTGACTTAAGATTCCATAAGAATCATGCAATTTAAAATACTCGCCAGAAAAAGAGATAATTGTGATGATTAGTTCACTTCCATAGGAAGTTTACCTTAACTTTGTTCTAATACCACTTAAAATTTTAAAAGTCTAATAATAAATGGGATTTAAATTTATTTTCTCTACAGAAAATTTCTGAAAAAAAATATTTTAGTGAATTTTCTAAATTAAAAATTCAAACATTTCCGTCATTTTCATTAAATTACAGTATGTTTTATAATAAAATGTAGAATAAAATAAAGGCAAATAACTGTGATATAATAAATAGTAAATAAAGTATTTAAAGATACAACAAAGATTACAATCTTTGTCACAGGGAATTACATACTTCTTGCATGCGTCCTTTAACAAATGATTTTATTTAATGCAATCATTGTGTCTGCAAAAGATCTTTATATGGCTGCAAGTAATTACATCAGGCAGTATTGATTATAGAAATTCATGAAGTGAAAGTAGTAATTAAATTCATTTTCAAATTAAGGTGAGCTTTTTATATAGATGACGAAACTCAAGATGATAAAAGTTTTCTATTGTTTTAATTACTTCTAAATGGAAAGCACTTTAAGGAAGAGAAAAGATCAGATCTCTGAAATATTCTTACTTAATTTTATTCTTCTTTTTGTCCAATAATAAGCTTCAAATATTTGAAATGTTTCCTAATATTGACTAAATTGTCAATTTAATTTATATTTTTTTATAATTAAATCGAGCTCTAGATGTCGGTTTTGTATCAATCAGATAAATTTTATTTTGAAATTTATAAAATTATGATTTTTAATTATTGAAAAAAATTCACAATTTTAATTTGAATTTTAAATTTTAAGTTGTTTTTTCTTTAATTATCCATCTATTTTAGTTATAAAATAAAAATAAAAATTATTATCTATTGTTTTTTCGTCCTAAATGTTTTTGAAAAAAATTAACTTAAATTAAAAAATAATTATTTATAATTTGAATAAAACATATTGAATAGTTCTCAGCCTTTTCTAGCAAGGGATATTAGCGATAAAAATCACTCTTGCAGGCTGGGATTTGAAACCTGAACCTCACTAGTAATAAGCAAACAGCCTAGCCGCTGCACCACGTAAACAAAGCAGCTAAAAAGTTTTTGTTAGTTTAAAAGCGAATGAAATGAAACTTTAAAGGGGCATATTTTACCCTAGGGGTAAATCTGGAGACCTAGATTTATTCTGTCCGAGGTTTTCAAACACGCTTTTTAATTTAAGCTTAACTTTGCCTTAATAGGAATTTTCAAGATGCATACTTCCTTTTTTAGTTCCAGATAAGGTAATATACAGCATAATATACATTGACGAGCTTACAAGGGGAAAAATATTAACAAATATTATTTATAATTCTTTCAATATTAGATATTTCCTACCTCAATAACGCTTTAAATTTCTTTCGGTTTGGCTGAAAGTTCAAAAGCATCTTTATTAATTCTGTAATTTCCGCTGCAAGTTTGGCTTCGTTTTGCCTTCACAATTGTTTGACATTTTATTGTACTATTACCTTAAAAGCATTTTTTGTCCAATATACTACTATTTTGTTAACATTAAATTTCAGAAGTTTGACGTGCGATCAAAAACTACATCAATAATAAACATTTTTCTATGTACATCAAAACGGAAAAAAATGAAGAAGTTACGGAGCTAGTCTTAAAAAAATTTTTTAACTGAGAAACATTACGACCTCCATCTCATGTTGAAATTATCAGCATTATATATGGAACTGCTTAAATGTACTTTGAAGTAATGTACTCAAGTAATTTGAAATTGACTATATTATTTTATCTATAATTCTATAAAAAGATGCATAAAAAGTTATTTTTTTCTGAAATCAGTTGTGTTCTCTTGTCCCTCCTTAGAAAAATTATTAAATATCTTAAATCAGCTGAATCATTTTAAATATGTTGCTATATTCAATGTATATTCTTATTAGAGAATCCTGTCAGGATTCTAACATTTGGGATATTATAGTGTTTGAAAGACAGACCAGCAAATCCTAAATCTCTTTATCATTTGATGGATATTCGTTCTCCCATTCAATATATAAGGAAAGAAAATACTAAAACATAAGGGAAAGAAAACGGGGAAACTAATAAACGAGAATGCTTGTGGAATGCAATAGAGAACTGTTTATTTCTAGTGAGATAATCCTGCAATTCTCTAATAGGCTTACGACATTTATCATATGAATGTGTCATCACTAACAAAACGCTTCCCATAGTTGAAAAGTAAAAACAAATAAGTGTGAACGGATCAAAAATAATTAATTCATAATTTAAAGTCTTGTCTTATCAATTGCATATTTGCATAGGATTATGCAATCAATATATAATATTTAAGTTGAAATAAATCTTGAAATATAATTTAACTTAAAGAGTATATTCTATTTAATTTTTTTAAGGTTTAAATTATTTTAATATTTGGAATCAAAAGAACATTAAAAGATCAGTACATTAAATTACTGCCAAGTATAATTAATAATAAATGCTGCTAATTTATTATAATGTATGTAATTTGCTCAAAAAGTATCCATCCTTAATGTTTTCAGAGTAAGCAATTCATGACACGCATTCAGCACTCAAGATAAATTTGAATTTTTTTTTTATTCATATAGAGCAGACGATTGATGTGTTCGATTGTCACTGTCACGTTGAGCCATACTAGTAGAATGAAACCGTGACTGTTTTGTTACCGTGACTTGTAAACTGTATGTATATCATGACAGAAATATCAAATCGAATGTGTGAGGAAGTATATTAAAATAAATGGAAAGAATCCTTGCTAAAATGCACCTCTTCTGCTTTCCGAGGCTCTTGCATCAACAGAAATTCTACTTGATCAAGAATTTTGAGTTTCGATCAGAATTCTTGCCTTGAACGTGTGATCATTTAAAAAGATAGTGAGTGTGTCTTTCCGATGCGTATTACCCATTGTTTTGTTAATCATGTATTGTTGAGTATTGGATTTTTTCCGTTAGAGAAAACGTAATATTAAATGCAGAAGCATTGCCCAAGCTTTGATGTTACTTTCTGAAAAAGGAATCCCCTCTGCAGAGGATCAAAATTGTGATGGTATGTCTTCGGATCATCCTCAGGGATGTTTCCCAGACCGTCGCCAATAGCCCATTGCTCAGCTCTAGTGTGACGTGAATAAAATACCTACCTACCCACCTCAAAAAGGAAAACATGAAGATATTAACAAATCATCACTCATCAGCGGTTAGCCAGCAAGTTCTGTCATCCGCACGAAGATTCTACTATTGCTTGTTCATGAGAATTTTCTATATAAGTGTTATTCATCCATATCCATGGGTGTAGGGTCATTGTTTAGGACAGATTTTGGCTCGGATCGGTGAGATAAAGGAAATCTTTTTCCTCGATCTTTTGTGTTAGCCCTAGAGTGAAGAGAAGCTAAACTCCAAGAAATGCACCATTCTTGTTTCCATAGCGACGGACGGCTTCAGACTCTGTGGCAGGGGGAGCTCTTTCCCTAGACAAACTGTAGTATAAATCCTTTCTTTATTTGTTTCCGAATTTTTTTTCAATTTGTAGTTTGAAACCTATTGAATAAATTAAGCATTTATTATTTTTATAGTTATCCTTATTTGCAACTATAACTCTCATTTTTTTAAATTCCATCTATATATATATATTTCAGACCGGATAAAGACATGGATGAAGAAGATAAAATGGATCCTGAGTATTTGCATAGTCGATGCGTAACCTGCAGAAGACGAATTCTAGATGGTGAAAAAGTTATTTGCCCTTTTAATCGATGCAATGTATGTCAGGGAGGTATTTGTGAAGACTGTGTTTATAAGGGAACTGGTGACCTGGTAAGCTTATTAAATAAGTCATAAAATGAATTTTCAGTTGAATAAATTAAAAAAAATACTAATTTTTGCAAAAAAAAAGCTGCTATACATATCAAATTAGCAGGATTCCCGTGATGTGATTGCTATTTTAACTGCTCCAATGCATTTTTGCAACAATCTTCTCCAAAAGGGGCATGAATTACTTAAGCCTGCTTCACTAATTCCTTTACTCAAACTTTTCTTCCGCTTACTTCAAAACGGGGCGTTTTCGTAAGCATTTCTTTAAACTTGATGCAATACTGGTCCAATTTGAGCTATCTCTGAACCACACTATTTTAAAAAAAAAATTTTAGAAGTTAATTTGTATTATTATAAATTATTGCATTATTCTACAAAGTTTTGTATTATTAAATGATGCTGTACTTAAAAATGACCTAATTTTTTTAATTACAATTCCTAGTCAAATATAATTATTGCGCAAAAAATTATAGCTCCCAAAAAAACATTGCGTATTCTATTAACTCAGGACAAAAGAAATTTTCAAATATTTCCTATAATTAAGAGTTTTTAATATAATTTCGAAAAACCATGTTTGGGTAAAGTAAAATCCCCACAAAAAATGGTTCTTGATTTGAAATGACTACAAACTGAATGAGTTAACTTCTATGCAATAATTTTTTCTGTTCCAATGTAATAGATATAATCATTTCACGACCTTTCCTAGAAAGATATAGTGAAACTTCTAAAAAACTCAGGTTTTAGTAAATATTTAAACTAGAAAAAGTAAATTCACCTTAGTATTAATATTCTAACTTTAAACTAAATAACTTTAAAAATAACTTTTATTTTTAGCGCTGGATGTGTGGTTGCTGCCATCGAAAGAGGAAGGAAAGAGCAAGAACATCATCAGCTCAACCAGACAATTGGTTTTTTGATTTGAATGAAACCGTAAGCATTTTGAGCTCCCAGTAATTTACATTTTCAATTTTTAAAAGCTGCTAGTCTGAAAATTTTATTTAAAAAAATAGTTTTCTTTTTGCTTGTTACAAACTGAAAATTCCTCTAGGTTCGGTTAATCGCAATTATCTGGAAGTTATGTATGCTTAAAAGAACATGAGTACAAAACTTTACGGTGGTTTTGACTATTTACAACAAGTATGGGTGAAAAGCTGTAAAAAAGACATTTAACTGAACATTAGAAATAGTTTAGCAGATTTATGGTGCTGAAATATAGGCGTGAAAGATAGTATCGTAACCTAACAGCCTAGGGACACAAACTGGGGAGTGCAAGACACTGCAAACTCTTCACGTGTAGAAGAGAAGGCGAGAAATATTGTGGCGTCAACGTAAGGTCTTGAACCTCTGTTCTGCTGAGCATGAAATTGACAAATTAGTTCTTTCGGCTGTAATACATACCCAGCTGCAAGCAATTAAGTAGATTCATAACGTGGGCCAAGTTGATGCTATAAAATTCTGAGTTTTTAACCGTATTAGGTGAAAGTAGTTAAGAGACGGTTTTTCTCACTGTTAACACTTTGAATACAATCTTATGCATGATTATTTGTTTGAATACGGTAAAATAACTACTAAATAATTTGTTATTTACCCACTTTTTCTCAGAAATTTCTAACAGTGTATTGTTACAACGAATAAATCCTCTGACTTCCCCTAGCCCAGTGGTTTCCAACTGGCTGCCTGGGGGCCGCGTCTGGCCCACGAAACCTTTTTTTGTGGCCAGCGAGCTAAGATATATTAGTTGTCGTTTTTTTGCGGACAATTTTCGCAAAAAATCTATATGGGTTTAAAATACTTTTCTTTCGTTTAAAAAAACATAATTTTTTCGTTTCTGTGAAATTTAACATATCAACGGTGCAAAAGAATTTTATTTCTCAGGCTTTGCATCCAAGAAAATATTTTTGTCAAATACAAAAATAATCGTGTATGTTGCTCTTTTTTATTTCGTTTCTTTTTTTCTTTTTTTTTTTTTGTATTTTGTGAATATAATTTAGCATATGCGTATCAGACATTTTCTCGAAGAAATTCTCACATTTAACTTTTTGAAACCACTTATTTTGGACGAAATTACTTACATTTGTAAATTTTAAAACACATAAAAAAGGGAATGAATATCAAGTTTTATTTAAAATCCTTGAATTGAATATCGCATGAGCGGAAAAGAAGAAAAAATTTAATTTCATGTGATCGAGAATTGTTTTTGTTGCCATAATTCGAAAAAATTTTAATTTATCGCAGAATTAAATTTAAAAGAAAAAAAATCTTGTCCCTAAGTTTCTGATTAAGAGAAGATTAAAATGATACGCAACAAGTATTATTTGTAATGCTTGTTATTTTGCTTTTTAATATTAAAAAAACTTTGATAAAAATCTGAAAGTAATATTTAGTGTTCCTTCAAACATAAAAGAGTCCTATATAAAATTGATAAAGTTATGGCCCACCATTTGACTGGTGTTTTTAATTGCGGCCCACGGACACATGTAAGTTGGAAACCCCTGGTCTAGCCCATCAATTTTTGAAGACTTTGAATATAGACAAAATTGAATCAAACCTACTAAATTACACGTAAAAGTCATACGTGTCCGTTTTAACTCAAGGCTGAAAGATCGAAAATATTTTATTTGTAACACGGCTATAATAGATTTTTTTATGTAAATATGCATGCTATATTTGGAATGATGCACTCAAATATGTGTCATTTCAGTAATTATCCTAGCGAATGGATTAAAATTAACTCAAGTTGAGTTATTTTTACTTTTTCACTATCAGAGAGCAATTTAACTCGAAATTATATCCAAAGATTAAAGGATAATATTATTCTTACGACATGCAAAATGTTAAATATTTAACATCACGCATATTGAAAAACATTTTATTCCTTTTCAGTTTGATTCTTTAAATGCCCCTACTAGATCTAGAGAAACTTGTAGTACCGAAACCACAGAGAGTCATTTAAATGATTCCGGTGCTAATAAGTGCCCTTCTGAAGGCATGGAGTCACAAAGAGCTTATGCCACAAACGACCATGCCAATCAAATTAGTGAAAGCTCTCAATCATCATCTTCATCTAACGCAGCAAGAGAAAGTATGAAAAAAGCCATTAAACCATCAGAGTATCATTTAGAAGTCGTCCATTTAAGCGGTTCTCCATCGCAGCGTCGTCATATGACCAACAAGCCAACAAATTGTGATAAGAGTGTAACCCACTCTGATTATAAAAACCCGCAGTCTAAGAAGGATTACCCGGCTCAAGATAAATCTCAAAGTCATCATGAAAAAGTGGATTCTCCTAAAAATAAAACTGATAATGTACATCAACCAAGAAAGGTCGATACTGGTGCTAAAAACAAACGTGAGAAGAATGAAAGCGGCAAAGAGACAGAAACTTTCATAGAATATTTTCGGTACCACTTTCTATCAAGTAATTATCGTAAGGACAAAGCTCAATCCAACAACAGTCACCCCCACCCCAATCTGAAGGAGACTCAAATATCAAATAATGAAATTCAAGGTAACAGCAAACCTTCCATTCCAAAGAACAAAGAAAAAGTCCCACCTTTATATAGTGATAGCCTTAGGGTTGATCTTCCACCTCCGTACTTCTCTGACTTATCTTACAAGCGAGTTGAACAAGAACACCAAGCTAGAAATAAAGATACAAGCATCAGTCCAGAACATCAGAGACCACCACCAGAATATTACCAAGATACTCCAAATATGAAACAGCGTTTGGAGAAACATGATTTACGTGGAAGGCCTCTTGAAAGAGGCCGTCAGATAAAAGGCGCACCAGAAAGAAACTCATCGTTGGAGTGCCATACAGAAAGAAGAGACTCGCATAGACAACATGTTTCTAGAATTGACACAATCCCTCATGGATCAAAAAAGCTGCCATCCGACGGTGAGTACAAATACCACAACTTTTACTGATTGATATGACTTTTATTTTTAACTCAATTTATAAACTCTGAGCTTTAAATAAATTTCCTATATTAAATTAAACAAAATTAAATTCCGCTAGGTTTTCTGAATAATTTTTCGAATATGGAATAAAGTTAAAGTATGACCAAATATATATTTTTATCATAAATTAACAAAGCGCAAATTGATGAAATATTTAATATAAACGATTTAAAAAATATTGCTTATTACAGAATATATTTTAATTCTGATCAAGTGATCGGAAAAGTTCATGCTCAGGTCAAAACCTTAATAAATTTAACAATTTTTCTAGAAAAATTAGTATCTTATCATCAATTTCGTATTTTCAATCATTTTCTGTAAATATATTTCAATATCTTACACGTTTTTTATTTTATTTTTGTGATGAAATTACACGATTTTTTGTCTAAAAAGGCTATGAAAACGATTTAAATTTCGTCTGCAAAATGTTCGTGTTTTCCATTGAAATTATTTTGCAGAGAAAACACATAGAAATCTAAAAAAAAGCATTAGGTGAAGGTGAAAAGTTCTACCTTTTTAAATCGCGAGTTTTTTTTTTCTTCTTAAATTTGACATGATGAAAAATGAAGATAAAACATGTATTTTCCATTAACTGATTGTGAACATTTTGTTTTCATCTCATCTATAAATTAAGGGGCCCACAGTACTTTTCCACGATTATTTGTTAGTCACATGCTTCTGCAATATCACTGGCACGCTTAACAGCACTTTTCCACGATTATTTGTTAGTCACATGCTTCTGCAATATCACTGGCACGCTTAACAGCACTTTAGTCATTTATTTTTTTAGAAATTCACATCAACAGCTATATTTTACCATCACCTACAATAGCGAACTTAATAATTTCATTAAGCACATATTTTGAAAAACAACAGTTAATTAAGAATAGTGTCCTTAGTTAAAATATTTTATATATTTTCCCTATCATTTGATAACCAGTTCCCCTCTTTTTGGCATAGACTCTACCAGGTTTTGACAGTTTACGACAACTTCTTTATACTTAGTATGCCATACTTCAATCAAGAAAAGAATGGTTCTTTTTCATTCTACAATCCATATTTGCGGGACTTACCTTTGAAATAGCCCGCAGATTATTTACCGGATCAATATAACAAGAGATTATAGGCCACTCTGAATCAACTGCTTTGTTTTTGGCAAATTATTTCTTCACTTTTCTTTATTTTTATGGCTAAGAGCCAGATTATAAAGAAAAAATTTCATCTTTTGATGGAAACCCCTGATCTCATTATTTCTGTCATTTCCGGCAGACCAAGTGTTTTTTAATCGGAAACAAGTGATCCAAACGGTCTTTAACCCCTTAACAGTGACATTTATTTCAGAAAAAGGGACCGAAAATGGAAAATTTATTTGACTGTTTAATTTTGTTCCGAATATTATTGTAAAAGTTAGAAAATGTTTTTTTATTACAAAAAAAAATTTTAATGCAATAACTACTGTATTTATAATTTTTACATTCACATAAAAAAGTAATGGATTATGCACACATCTAATTCAATTAGATCAAATGAAACAAAATTTTGAAACTAAATATAATATAACTTATATAATATAATATAAAGACACAACAACATGATTTTCAATATATACATTTTATATATCTTTTCCCACCCACATTTTCCCTCCCTCGACTGAAGTCGTAATCGGTGAAAAACTAGGACCACTAATGCCACCTATTAGGAAAATAATGAATTAAGTATCCTAAAGTAGAAAAGAACTCAGCTCGGGCTTCGCAAAATGGAAACGTTAATTTTTCTCCTGCCCGAAGTCAGTTCAACATTTGTTTTATGTGGATCAGTATGACAAAGATCATCCACTAATGCCATCTATTAGGAAAATAGTAAATTAAGTATCCTAAAGTAGAAACGAACACAGCTCGGCTTTACAAAATAGAAACGTTAATTTTTCTTCTGCCCGAAGTTAGAACTGCTGGTAGTAGTTGCCCGAACTGGATTCGGGTGACACTGGCAAGGGGTTAATACCCAAAATAAATTGGGAAACTAAAGTTCAAAAGTCCAAAACTTTACCCTTGATTCAATTATTAAGCTCACTTCTCTCTACATAATGACCCTTTAGCTGGTTTAAACTTCCAATTGCATTTCTTCTTCTAACTTTGCTTTTTTTTTCTTTTTCTTGAAAAAAAAAATTCTATTTTGAACTTTTTATTTACATTTTAATTCTTCCGAATGTGTTATATTTTCTCATAACTAGGCTGGGATAATGGTACTGTGGCTGAAAGGAAAAGCCGCTCAACATCTCTAGGTCGTCCCCAGATGAATTTGCCTCAAGAGAGAGAAAGAGGTTATTCTGTTGATGAAATGCGATATGGTGAAAGAAATGTCGGCAAGCGGCAACCCAGATTAGAGCGGCAAAATACAAGCATGGACTATTATTGGGAGCAGCCTCATCAACGCAAAGATCATCACGCACCTTTGAGACCCAACTTAGATGATGATAATGAATTTGAAAAAGCCCTTTGCTCTTTTCGTAATTTTGACTATGATTTTGAGCCTGAAAGTTTCTCTGAGTTGGATATTTGTGCCCAAAATCCTCGAAGATACATGTATGATGAAGACAGACATTACTCAGATCGAGCAAGTGGTGAGTACTCGAAACAATGAATCCCTATAACTTCAATGAACAGCTGCGAGAATTTATCGAAGTATCTGAAAGGACTAAGCTTTGCATTAAAACGAGCATGTGAACTGCATGCAAGTTCTTTATACATTAAATTCCTTTCTAATAAAATTTTTAATACTATACCATGCGTTTTAACGCATGTGTGTATTTGCATCTTAGCTCATAAGTTTAATTTAGAATTCTGTGAGTGTTCTGAAGCTTTGTGCGTGTGAAAAAAAAACATGTGTTTTCACCCATTGTTCAATGAAGAATCAATTATGATTGTATTTAGAACATCATCAAAAAAACAGGGAAAATTGTATTTTTGATCAGCTTGCATCACGCAAATTTGGAATCAATCCTGTAACTTTTATAAAAAAATTTGACTTATTACATATACCGTGGAGATATATTTTTGTAAAATTATTATTAATATTTATATTTATTATTGTTATTTATATGAGTGTTTTTCTTAAAAAATCTTAAGTTTTTGAATAAAACTTTAAACACTATTTATAGAAAATTTATTAATATGTTAAAAAAATAGTGTCAAATAGTTCATGCTAATCAATTGATATTTTTAGCGAGATATGAGTGCTATGTTATTAGTATTATACAATAGGCATTATATGACATTTATATCTCACATGTGGGAGATATAAATAAAATAGAGTAATAAAAAAAATTTTTGTCAGATTATGAACTAATTAATTAAGGCAGTCGGTTTGAAAGTACTAAACAAATACAACAAAATTCAGAAAAAATACAATTATTTTGCTCAATAAAACTCGTGTAGCAGTCCGAACAGAACAAAATAATAAGATATTTTCCCGAATTGCTATTTTTATCATGAAGAAACAACTTCTGTACAAGCATATATTCGACCAATAAAAACAACCAAGTTCGGTTCAGCTATGAAAAGCAAAGATAAAATTAAGATATTAAAAACGTACAAACAAGGATATTAAAAGCATACAAACAAAGATATTAAAAGCATGTTTTAAATACATGTTTGAAAATAAATAATTAATTAAAACAAACGAGACAAATTGTGTGCATTTCTCTTAATATTTGTTATGTCTGTTTTTTAATGGAGTAAACGCCTTAATTAATATAACTGCTTGCTAATGAAGTATTCAAAATTTGAATACATTTTAATTTTTCGATTCAATGCTCATTTACAGAGGTAATACTTAGCAGGAGAAAACTTAAAGCAGTTATTCCCAAATAGACTTTAATTGTAACATTCTATAAAAGTGCAACGTCCTAACCTCATGTTGTATCCACCACCATGCTCCTACAAAATATGGAGACATAATTTCTGAATTACTATTTTTTAATGATCGTTGAAAATAATTCTTAAATTAATAAATTAAAAAAATTCTTCAGTAACTAATATACTCCTTTCTGCTTGTGATTGCCTCTAGTACGTTCGACTAATCTTATACTACATCTAACATATTGCCACCACAAAATATGAAAGCATGATTTTTGGATTACAAGTAGGGGAGAGTCGGGTAGCCCCGCTCACTTAAAAAGTATTGCTTATATTTCTGTATAATATTTAGTAATAATCAATATTTTTGTATGCTTCTATTGTTTTATCATCTAATTAAATAATGCAAAAACAATAAACCAAAAAAAGAATAGTTTAACTTAAAAAAATAGAAATTTAAAAAAACATGTTTCTCAGCTCTTTTAAAAATGTGTCGGGTAGCCGCCCAGTTACAAAAATTATGTTTTTTTGACTGTTTTTTCAGATGTAAATGAAAATGACCAATGTATTGACAATAGGTAAACCTCGTTTATCATTTTTATCACAAAATTATTTTATTTATTACATATTTATATACTTTTAGTGAATTCTATCATTTAATAACAACAATATTTGTTGTTAAAAATGCATATAACATTCAAATTTGAAGCAATAAAATAATAATCTTTGCAACCGTACATTTATCGACGAAATAAAATTGGGCGGTGATACCCGACATTCATGTGAGCGGGGCTACCCGAAATCCAATTTTTTTGTAAATTTGTAATTACTCGAACAATTTTTCACATATAAACTTCTTTCTTTGTGCAAATTAAACTTAAGACTACATACTTTAATGCTGTATGTATAGAAAAAATTATTTTTTTAGTATTAAAGTGAAGTTTAATCGAAACATTCAACCAATTTTTCTTAATTTCATGACTACTGTATTTAACATATTTTCAAAACTATTGTTTACCATGTTAACAGCTGCATAAATACTTGAAACTTTTAAAATAATCTTTTTTTAATATAACAATTAATGTCCGATGACTCATTGCTTTGAAAAAATATTCTATATATATGAAATTGACTGTGGGCGGGGCTACCCAACTCTCCCCTACAAGTAATAAGTAAAAGAAATCGCTAGTAATTAATTTACTCCCTTTTATTTTACTACAGGTGTTAGTTTAATACCTTCTTCTGCATTGCCCCGAGTACATGCTCAGCAAAATGAAGCATTGGCTGTTGATTTTGGAGCTCGAAGAAGCTCAAGTCAACCGAAAGACAGACGTTCTCCAAAAAGCTACTCAAACGACTCATCACCTTATCACTCTTACCCGATGGCTCACAATGAAAGTAACACTTGGCGGGATAGAAGTGCTCGTTCTTTGGATATCCCAAATCGCAGTCCAGAGATAAGAAGAGCATCTCTAAATGAAACTGTTAAACCAAGAGAACCTCTCAACTATCAGGATGAAGATATGAAGGGTAAAATTTATTCTTGTAAATCTTCAGAACATTAGATACAGTAATATAAAGTATATTAGAAATATATGTGAAAGCATAATAAGAAAAGTGAACTTTTTTTAAAATTTAAATACAAGAATTACAAAAAAATGCAAAGATTATTCTAATTTTACCAAATTTACAGTACGCAGAATAAAAATAAGAGCTACCCTGAATAACTTATGATCTAATGATTCGATCTTCGCGTTCCAAAACTCAATTTTAATGGTTCGATGTGGTGACTTTAAATATGCTAATTATTAAATTATTATTATAATTAAATATGCTAAAGTGCAGACGATGTTTTGAATTACGAAATCAGACACAAAAGCTTACTTTCTCTGAATAAACATTCCTTTTTTTTGACGGATTTGGATTTCTGACCCTAAAAATATAGGGAATAACCGCAATCTGAGAAATATAATCTCAATAGTTTGGTCAAGATAACGGTCCAAAAGTTTGGCTCCCTTTAATGTTAATTTTACTTTTGCGCATTTTGCTATATCTCGAGAAATTTTAAGAGTATTTAAGCATTTTTGCACTCAATTAAAAAATTCATTTATGCATATATAATTTAATGCAAAATATTTTTTTACTAACTATTTTTATTTTTATTATTTTATTTAATAATAGTCGGAAAGATTTTGAAAAATAAGCTGTAAAAAATTTTACATTATTTTAAAGAATGCAGTTTTAAATGGAAAAGTACAAAATTTGTCCAAAATCGATGCCTTTTACTTTCTTATTATATGTCTTTTACTTTCATTCTCTACTTTTTTTGCATAGATTCTCCCTTATTACATTATTATTAAAATAAAATTAATTAAAAATAAAATGCACAAAAAATGCACCGCATAAAAAAATAAAACAAGTGTTTAGAGAACTATAAGAATTATCACTGTTCCCCTTTTTTTCAATAAGCAATAAAACGCTCTTGGCTCAAGTCTTTTTCTCCATGCACTTAACTGATGAAGATTAACAGCCCTTAAATTTCAACATCACCCACGGAGAGTGATTTAATACCTCAAAAACAACCGCCTCAGTTTACGTTATGGGAAAATGTCCTTTGCATTTTGAAATAGTCTTTATCGCATTTCTGGGATCCGATGTCATCTTTTAAAAATGTCGAATATCGACAGAACCATTTCTTTGTTGGCTATCTATTTATAAATTGTCTGAAACAGGCAATCATCTAGAATTTCTAAGGAAAACAGATATATTAACCTTTCAGGGAATTAAGTTGGGGGAGACTCTTGTTGATATGTTGATATTTTCTATTTTTTGATGATTTTCCCAAGAGACTTTCTCCAACATTCTAAATCTTTTAGTACAAAGCGCTCAGATTACTATTCCACTATTATTTAAATTAGCTATTCCCAGCCATTTAATAAAGTTTATCTTTTGATTACAAAGACTCATTAAATTAATCCATTTCTTGGGAAGTAAGCAAATGTTTGTATTAAATTGCGTAATACATTTATAATTGTCTGTTTATGTACTGTCAGAATTGTTTCATGTTTAATTGTTGATATACCAAATTTTTTTATTTTATCTTTATTAAATTTATCTTTGGATGATGGAATTTCCAAACTCAAACCATAAAGATTGAGTCCTCGAGCGAGAAGATCCGATCGTTAGATCAAAAGTTATTCAGGGTGGTCCGTTTTTTATTTTGCACACTGCGTTTCAAAACTTAAGTGAGTCAGATGCCAGCTGTTGTTTGATTGCGCATTTTTAACGTAGCTTTTCTTAGTAATTACAGGATTAATTTTCGAGGAATTTTTCATTGTTCCTTTAGTTTAAGTGTATATTTTAAAAAAATTAATTTTTTAACTTTATTAAATTTATCTTTGGATAATCGAATTTCCAAACTCCAACCATAAAGATTGAGTCCTAGAACGAGAAGATCCGATTGTTAGATCAAAAGTTATTCAGGGTGGTCCTTTTTTTATTTTGCGCACTGCGTTTTAAAACTTAAGTAAGTCGGATGCCAGCTGTTGTTTGATTGCGCATTTTTAACGTAGCTTTTCTTAGTAATTACAGGATTAATTTGCGAGGAATTTATCATTGTTCCTTTAGTTAAAGGGCACATTAAAAAAAAATTAATTTTAAATCATTATTTTTCTTTAAATCATTTGTATGGCAAAAAAACTCGCAAACTTCTGTTGACAGATTTTCTAAAAACTTGTGTAAATAGAGTACAGATAACAAGAGTAACATAAAAAGCATATGACTTTC